CGGAGGCGATGTGGCCGAGCACGGAAAACGAAGCAGAGGGGAGAGGCGGCGGCGGCTGAGGGTTAGGGGTAGGTGGATTGGGTCTAGGTTGCCCAAAATGGCAAGATGGGGTCTATATATAGGGAAGGTTTAGGGTTAGGGGGATTAGGAGGGGTTTTTGGACCCTCGGATCGAGATCGATCGGTTTCGGACGCGAGGAGGGGTTTTAGATGGGCTGTCGGTGGGGACAGTGGGCTGTGTAGAGAGGAGGTGGTCTGCGAGGAAAGAGGAGGAATGCAACCCGGCACGGTTTCTGGAGACTGAAAATGTCCGACGAAAAGACCGGCTACTATTGCCGCTATAATTTAACGGTTGGGCTATCAAACGAGCTCCGAATGCGCTGAAACTTGGCAGTCGGTCTACTGACAACATAACAACTCCGCACGCCAACTATCATCTCATTCCGAGAACATTTCCTGGCCACTTATAAAATAATATTTCGGACATGCCGCAGGCGCGTGCGAGTGTGGTTGGGCTCAGAACGGACAACGGAGAGGACGGGGAGACCTGGACGGATGCAAGTTTTGAAAACATGACGATGCAATGCGGATGATGACATGGCAAGATGCAACACGCAAACGAATGACATGGCAACAACAACGAATAACTGGAAGACACATGGCGCAACGGTCTCGGGGCGTTACATCAACACTCTAGCCAAATTGATTTCATCCTCTCAAGAAGAGAAGATAGGCGTGCGTGCCTAGACAAGGTGATACCTGGAGAGAGTGTTGTCCCTCAGCATAAGCTTGTGATTGCTGATTTCCACTTTCGGTTTCGTGTCCAGCGGGATAAGCGTGCCACAGTCGCTAGAACAAAGTGGTGGAAGCTCAAGGGGGAGGTAGCTCATGCGTTCAAGGAGAGGGTCATTAAGGAGGGCCCTTGGGAGGAAGGAGGGGATACGGACAATATGTGGATGGAGATGGCGACTTGCATTCGTAAGGTGGCCTATGCGAGTAATAACAGGTCAATTGTGTTAACAAAGCTATTGACACTATTAATGTTGTGGAAAATAGACCAAGATTAAACATGGGATGTTTGTCTTATAAGTTTTGCAGTTCATCTTGCTAAAGGCTTACCACTGACCCTTCCATGGTTATGTTGTCAGGCATAGGTCCAGAGATCCTTTTGATTGCAGTCAAATAAACCAATTCCCATAAAGTATTATGCTTTTCATTTCAAGATATGGTACTGTAAGTACTGAGGTTCAGTGACATTTCTTTTGTCATTGCAATACTTTATTTTGGTCTGTTATTTCTATTGAGAGTTGGCCTATGATGTTTGCTTGTTAACCTTACGCTAAAGGGGTAGAATGTTAAAACTGATCTCCTGGTATAGCAAACTGAGAGAAAGTGGGGGAGAAATGTCTCTTCCCCTACGCACATGTGTGATCCTGGCACCCAAAACCAAAATTGGTTTCAGTCCCTTAGCGTCTCTGGCGCGCATGCACAAACACGTTTTATGGGTTAAACCCCCTATACTCCTAACTACCGATCCTAAAACATAGGTAAGGAGGTTTGAATGGTCATATGCCCCACCAGCCAACAAAGATGGTAGTGTTGGCGACGCCCTACATGACTGTCAGTCTTGCTGCTTCCTCTTCCCTAAAAATCTCAACTCCTTCTCGTGAGTGCCCGATCTCTGATTATGTTTTAGGTGTTCTAATCATGAGATTAAGATCCAAGCACATCAATTCATGTCTCTCATATTGTTTACTTCATTTTTTTGGCTGTCCAGTGGCAATCAGCACCTTGAAAATGTGGTTAACCAACAGTTACTTGTACTACTTTGTATAGTGAAGATGGAACAATAGGTCATTTGTTCTTGCAAATGATATATAACGAACAATTACTTCTCACCAGGAAAAGAATATCTACAAAAGGTTTACTAGGATAGCCTCATCTCCAAAATAATTGAGCACAAATCCTCTAGGTGGAATAACTATAATATATTCAGAGCTTTGCACTAACAAATGTTGCCTCCATCTTGAACTGTTTCTAGTCTAAGTATCTACTTGTACATAGCTTTAGAATGATGACGTATAAAAAGGGCAGAAGAACATCACTTTGTGATGAGACACCAAAAGCGTGATATCCGTGGATATGCTCCGGAATAAACCATGAACTGGGAACTGGTTAGGCTTCAGGGCCATCCTTTATATGGGAGGGAATATATATTTGGAGTATTATCTTAAAGGAAAAAATATATATTATGTCAATTGAGCGGTTCTGCATGTTTATATGGTACACTGTTTTCTTTTTCAAGGCTTGTTGGTACCATGCTTGCAGAACAACATTTTGCAGTTTTGGATATATTCTTTTTTTAGAAATATGTTCTTCTGTGGGCAGTAGCAACTAGCAAATATTCCTGGTTGGTTTTGGTTTGGTAGTTCAACATGAATTCCATTCTTCTTTTCATTTTGGTTTTCGTCATGTTCACTAAAAATATTGAATATCTCCCCCCAAAGCATCATCACAAAAAAGAAAGAAGGAAAATTGGAGCCCTTAGGGCTCTATCCATTAATTAAGAAAAAAATTGAATTACCCAATTAATCAGTGGAAAACCAGGCCACTATTGAACACCCATATATAACAATTTAGTTGGAAGTAAGTTGCCTGAAAATTGAATTTGGATCAGTGTTGGGAAGAAAGAAGAAGGCGCAACATAGCATCAAGGTCGCCGCCGACAGCATTGGGGCGAGCATAGCGAGCGGGGACATCGGCAAGGCCTTGACCAGGAACGAGCCATAGCCCTGGCGACTTCAAAGGTTAACGGTTCGGGGTGCGGGAGGGGAGGGGAGGGGATGCAGGTTCATTGGATATAAAAAAAAAATCTGATGGTCACCTACTTAGAGGGATGGCGGGGAGGTGGCCATTCACGACGACGAGGCTGACACGGGCGGCCATGGGTCATTTGGGGAAAACGATGAACAGTGGCGGGCGCCGGGCGGGAGGTGGTGGTAGAAGGCCGTCTGATCTTTCGCTTTAGAGTCTACTCCCTCCGTTCGGAATTACTTGTCTTGAAAATAAATGTATCTAGAACTAAAATACGTCTAGATATATCTATTTTCGCGACAAGTAATTCCGAACGGAGGGAGTAGATCGGACGGTCCAGGAAAAATCGACTGGCCCAACTTTTCGTCCAGTGCCACTATCCAGCCCCCATCTGTAATCCATGTTGGATTGAACGGGATAAAATACCACTCGGTGAGGGGAGAGTGCCTCTCACGCGAAGCTTATAACGCCATAAAATATTCTGGACCCGTTCCTCTCTCGGAAGGAATAGGATCATCCGGCAGCCCACCACTGAAGCACCTAAGAAACTGTCGGATTTCATTTCGAAGGAAACACCCACACCCACCCCACCGGAGACTAGTCTAGAGTGAGCTTGAGAAAACATGAAAATAATCAAGGCGAGGCGAGGCGAGGCCGCCACATAACTCCGAGGCCAACAAGAAGAGAAGATCCTGTGGAATCTCCCTCTCGTCGCCCCTCCTTTACGTGCGAACGCGACTATACAATTCAATTCAATTCGAGCAGTGCAGTGCCCCCGTTCTGCTGGGGAACAAAAGTCGCTGCTGCACCCACGGTTTCCCTGCGGGAATATGCTCCTTGTGTGATCCGGATTCCAGTCACCACTCTTTCTCTATCCGTCCTCCCAGGACCAATGACCGCTCCTCTCTCTCATCCCCGCCACACAAAATCGCTACGTCCACACCCTACTTCGTCCCCTCTAACTTGGGTTTCCAACCAGGCACTCAATAAATAAATAAATAATCTAAGTTCAATGTTTTTTTAGACGGTGCATAAGCCTTCAACAGTTTCTGTTTTTCCCTAACTAGTGCATAAGCCTTTGCCAGTTTGCGCATGAGAGTGCCCATAAAAATTCCTACTATTTTTTGTGAAAATTTTATAATGTAACTGTAACTGTAAGGTTAAACATCTAAATACCGAAGTTTTACAAAAATCATCAGTACAAGCATGTCAGGCGCACTTGCACAAAATGATCCGCCCATAAGCTCAAAGTTGCTATGTATTTCGATAGAGCCCGCAAAGTTTCAAACAATTTTTACGAAAATTGTATGGTGTAAACATGAGGTTGAATAGTTAAATATCGAAGTTTGTGGGACTCAATTGCACGAAATGATCCGCCAATATGCCCAGAGTTGCTCCTCAATACCTAAACAACGCTACTCATAAAAATTTCAAACTACTTTGTGGAAAATTTATAGTCTGGACACAAGGTATAAATTTAAATACTGACGCGTTATGAAACCTACTACTTGTCTGGTTCGGCCTACCGATAAGCTCAAAGTAGCTTCTTTGTACGCGGACAATGGTGGTCAAATTTCAGATGATTTCAAGTGAATTCTCTGTGCTAATACAAGGTTCAGATTCTAAACATCGGGATTTCATGGAGATAGTATCTTCCATTTTCATGCGACATCCATACATAAATATTTGAATTGGAATTTTTAAAATCAAATTCAAATTCAATCAAAGTATTATGAAATCGTTTTTTTAGGGTAAAAAATTGATTGTACAAAATTTAACTCTTGAGAGACAAACGAGGTACAAAGTGATATTAAATTTTAAGCTAGTGAGCAGACAGAAGGTTCTCAGCCACCGGGTGCCCATAGCGCGGCCTCACGCACATCGCCCCACGCCTCACGCCCCTTGCCACGCTTAGCATATGCCGGTAAATATTCCAAGAACGTCCCCGTCCTCTTCCTCCCCAACCGCTTACCTCACTAACCACGTACGTACGGTAGCCGCGCCTATATTACCAGCACTCGTCGCCGCTTCACCCCTCATTAATCCATCAACACCACCGCTTGCCCCCCTTCATGTTGTTGCATTGCCCTCGGGGAGACGAGGTCATTAGTTGATCACCAGCAGTCGATCGGTTGGGGATCAATCGAACAGAAGGCAGTCGGTGATCTCTTGATTGATTTGGACGCCATGAAATTCGGAAAGTGGCTCAAGCGGCAGATCGAGCAGAGCCTCCCGGCGTGGAAGGACGAGTTCCTGAGCTACAACGAGCTCAAGCCCGTCATCGGCGCCGTCTCGCCGGCCGAGTTCGTCGCCCGCCTCGACGTTGAGATCGAGAAGATCAACGCCTTCTTCATCGAGCAGGAGGAGTTCTTCATCATCACACACCGGGTACGTATATGCGCTGATCACTGTCCAGACCCGATGGCTTCGCTTGCCCTGCGAATTTCTCTGACGGTCTGTGCGTTCTTGGTGGTGTGTGTGCGAGCAGGAGTTGCAGGGGGCGATCAGGAGCGCGCTGGAGAGGAAGCCGGCGGTGCCGGCGTCGGCGCACGAGGCGGAGATCGCGGCGATCCGGAGGGAGATCGTCAACTTCCACGGCGAGATGGTGCTGCTGCTCAACTACAGCAGCGTCAACTACATCGGCCTGGCCAAGATCCTCAAGAAGTACGACAAGCGCACGGGCGCCGGGATCCGGCTCGCCGTGATCGAGACCGTGCTGGTGCAGCCCTTCTTCACGGCGGAGGCGGTGTCCCTGATGGTGAGGGAGTGCGAGGCCATGATGGAGGCGGTGTTCCCCACGGCGCCCGGCGAGGGGCAGGCGGCGGCGCGGCGGGACCGCGAGGCCCTGGTCGCCGCGGAGCAGAGGATCTTCCGCAACACCGTGTCGGCGCTCCTGGCCATGCAGGACGTGCGCAGCGGCAGCTCCACGCGCGGCCGCCACTCGCTGCCGCCGCTCAACCTGCCGGACTCGGACTGGCTCCGCTCCTTCTAGCCGCCGCCCCCCATTCCCCGTCCAATGGCCCCCGCCGGCCTCTTCTTGGTGGTCTCCCCAGCCACCACAGCCACAGCCCACAGATATGTAATTGGCTATCTGTAGTTTCTAACTTCTTTTTTGTCTCCTTTTCTTTTTACCACATGCTGGTGTAAGAATTAAGATGGTAACAAGATGTGAGCATACAAATTCATACTCCTGTGCATTATGCTCCTAAATCTTTGTCGGGACACTGACCGAGCGTCAAATCTAGTTGAGTTTCTGCTTAAATATGGTTGAGTGCGTCGTAGAAAATTAAATCTAATTCAAACTGATGCCCAAGAAAAATTATGGTTCTAATTTTCTAAGAAACAAACTAGCAATTCTTTCAGCTCCTGGCTCCTGATGAGTCCAGAGGCCAAGGCAAAACGTCCAACAGAAATTGATCGTTCCCCAACGGTTATACTGTTTCAGAATTTTCAGACCAATCGCGAGTTAATCCATTAGTCTGAGGCTGATAATGCTATGTGACTGGATCAAGCAAATCGACACCGAGGGCTCATATGTTTAGAGAAACAATTCCGTCAGACTCGAGCTACGCAAGATGATTCCTTCGCCGGAACGAATATACCTTTGATATTGTAGCGAAGCGGCCAAAAGACCGCATCAAAAGCGACGAAGATAAACTATTTATTGTCAATGTGCACAGCCTACGGTTTTGGTTGGAGATTCAGCAGCTTGTTGTCATAAAATTGTTGCAGCGAGTAAGAGCAGGTTTCATAGTCCGCGCCGTTCTCTTTGTTTTTATCGATTCTTTCTTCCTCTCATGTTGGAAGATGAGAGGTACATTCTTGCTCAGGATCGATGGTAGGTAGTAGGTGCAAAGGAAGATGGACTGAATTTGCAAGGCAATTCCGAATTTCTAAATATTCCTCCAAAATGCTAAAACTCGAACAATGAGATAGCAAGCCGAGTCTGTTCGTAAATCTCAAGATAATATGCCGGCTCAAGCTTCCGAAGGTGCTTACAGGGATAGGGTGTGCATATGTGTTCATAGTATGAGTGTATGCACGTGTGTACGAGCGCTTGCATCTGTACTGTGTTTAAAAAAATAAGAGCCATGCATTTTAGAATGCGCGGCCACCTCTGGTGGTGCATGACAAATCAAATTGATTCCTGCATAAGAAGGAAGAAGCATGTCCAGAAAGTATTCAACCGAAAGAAGCCGCATCCGGTGCAGCCGTGGTAATCAGCTCAAGCTGTTAGAACCCTGATTTTTATTTTTCTTGTGTGTGTGGGAAGAACCCTGATGTTCTTCATGCTGCTTCATTACCGAGCTAGTCACTCGATTGAGATTTGGTTAAGTTTTAGTCGACTGAGATGTAAACACACCCTAGTGCAAAACATGAATGAGTAATTTTTTAGCATGAAGAAGCTGCATTGCTCAACAAATCAACAGCGAGCGAGCAAATCATTCATTCAGTTGTAGCCTCGTGGCTCCTGATGGGCCAAGAGGCCAGGGCAAAAACGTCGGACGTTGATAGCTGGTGTGACATGATCTGCTCAAACGGCCATGCTGTTTTCAGAATCTTGAGATCACACGAGTCAACCCACCATTCAGTCAGAAGTCCACAATCTCCATCGCGAAGATGATAAGACCTCATGGCGGGGTGATAATGAAAACAGCTCGACGCGCAGGGTTTATGTGATTAGAGAAATATTTCTGTCAAACTCGAACCACGCAAGCGCAAGATGATTCCTTCGACGAAACGAATATGCCGTAATAATGTCGCGAACCAGCCACAAGGCGACATCAATAGTCGTTAACAGTATCTGTTTTCAAGATTGCGCTACTACTAAGAACCTAAGACTATTATACGAGGCTTTGCCGGTTTTCATTACAAAATGGTTGCGATTAGTAAGAAGAGGTTACAATAATAATACAATAATACATCAATATTCCTCACGCACAGCACGCATCTGGCATCTCCTCTGTTCCCCTCGTTGGAAGATGAGAGGAATATCCTTGTTCTAGATTGATGGCACATGATGATGAAGTGAAGTAAAGCCCACGTATTTGCCGAAGGACGAACACAGGATATCCCTCGGAAATGCCAAAACTCCAACAAGGAGAACGCCAAGTTGCATCTACATACAGGTCCACATACATTTGAAAGGGACGCAGAGAGTTGATGGATGGCAGTTTTATACGAGGAAAACTGTCGGTGAGAGTGAGACGGCGCCAGGCACAGCAGGCCCCGGCGATTAGTCTTTGCTTATTACTACTGCCTAGACGATGACAGCAGATGCATCGCACAATGCCACCTCCGTTTTTGAATTTGTTTCTCTAGAGAAGGGATTAAAATGGTGGCGCCACCACATACGAAGCAGATTTTGGTGAAAATTAGTCATAAACTGGAGATTTTTAAAGAATACAGTTCTGACATGACTTTCCGAGATACCTGAAATTTTGGAAATTTGCCCCAATCCAAAATTTTAAACTTGAAAAGGGGGCGCAAAACATGCCAACATCTGTGGAAAGTGATGGAGATAATGGGTTCTTCCCCGCAAAAAAGAGAGAGAGAGAGAGATAATGGGTTCTTACATCACTGGACAAGCATCCCGACCCAGCAAAAACCGGGCATAAGTAAAGAAAAATGGAAAGAAAAATATAAGCAGTTCCTAGAGCTTGCATTGGTTAATTTGGATTTCTAACCTAGACAGTTCTTTGTGTTCTTTTCCTCTATTTTCTCTATGCCATTGTAGCACACTTGATTATTATTTTACCGATAATTACCGTAGAACAATTGTTCTACTGTCCAGGGCTTAAAAAGGGACCCTAGTAGATAGCGACCATTCACTGTGGGGCATGGCAATTGCGAACAGTTTTTATGTTAGATTCTTGGAAAAATTCTTATTTTGTTCGTGAATACGCACGAAGCATATCATTGCATTGATGGAGGGTAGAAAATACAAAAGTGGCGATCCCCGTTATGCGTACGCTAGAAGGCGCATACGAGGGCGCGCTCGAGCAGTAGAGGAGGGGTTGCTCAGCCCCTTACAGTTTGGTTGTCAGGTTACATGAATGATTGTGTTAAGCCCTCTAGCATCGGTTTCCGCCCGGTACGAGCTTCCTTCTAGATGGTTGTTTGCACCAGTTGGGTATGCAATGTTGGGAAACGTATTAGAAAAAAATCGTCCTACGACCAGCTAGAAACACTATGAAGATGCAATAATGGTTTAGATAGAATCGTTACGAACTCCCGAGTTGCAACGAAAGAAGACAAGTCGGAGTAGTTCGTACTTGAAGTCCCTCAAACCATTCACGAACAGAAGACCGAGGAGGCTCCAAAACTTGTGTCTACAAGAGCCAAATCCTCATTGGTATCAGAGCAAGGTCGATTTGAAGTTGTGATTGCCCCGGGGTGGTGATCGTACTTGCGCCTCGAGGTAGGCGATATAGTTGCTGGGTGATGCAGCGACGAGGAGGATCGGGCGATCGTCGTTCGGCGGAGCGAGGAGGGAGACGGCGGGCTGCCGTTGGCAAGACGGTGGAAGATTATTGTTGATGGGAGCGGTGGTGCCGAGGTGCAGTGCCGGAAAGTCATCAAGATCGTCGTTCGCGGGAGTTAGAGTCAAGGAGTCGTGCAGGTTAGCACGGTCGGTCGATCGTCGTCGTGTCAGCGTCGTCTTGTCCAAGTGTTCGTCTCTGTGAGGAGGCGTTGTCTATGTGTCTCGACGAGAGAATCAAGTTCAACTATATGGGGGCGGTAAACCAGTGAAGGTGAGTTTCTTCAATGAGAAAGAAAAGCAATAAAGAGAAAAAAAAAGCAATAAAGAGAGAAAAAAATAAGGGCACGACATGCGCCTTTGGCTATCAGTTTTTTATGCACGTGTGTTCGTCGTGTCTTGATGTGATCAATGTTGAGGGCAAAAGAATATATATGTTGGAGGAAGGGGGTATAAACCAAAAATTCATTCTTACCATTCTGTTATTTTGTAAATTCGGTAAGCAAAGATGCAAACCGAGAAAGACACCTCAAAACAGGAAACCGAAAATTCGGTTGACCCTTTTCGGTTTGGTAATCGGTTTATACTGTATTTGCGAAATGTGTCACCAAATTAGCTTTGTGGCTAGCTTCCTTTGGGGCCGCGCTCTATATAGACTAGCTATCCACCTCCTTGTACATGGCTAGGCGAGGTGGGACTAAAAATGTGCCAACGAACTAGATTAAACCTCCAATTCAAGTGCCCCGATGTCTTGCTGCCAGCCGAGACCAAAGGAACCCTCACTGAAGGGGCAGTCAGAGATGGCCGACCCATATGCACGGGATGCCACAACTGTGTTTTTTTTACATTTTCTTTCTTCCGTTTTTGCTTTATTTTTTTATTTTTCTGTATACATATATGTCCTGAATATAAATATTACAAAAAAATCTATAAAAACATTTGAAAAATGTTGATCAAGTATTTGAAAAATGTTAAGGGCATATAGAGAAAATATTTATCACGTATACAAAAAACAAAGTGTATCATTTTTATCATATATTAAAAAATGTAAATCAAGGCATTTAAAAAATTGTTGAATAAGTATTTGAAAAATGTTAAATGTGTATAAAACAAATGTTGATCATGTATTAAAAAATGATGAAAAAATTGATCATGTATATAAAAATGTTAATTAAGCATTTGAAAAATATTGAACATATATTTGAAAGATATTAATCAAATATTTAAAAATATATTAAATGTGTACAGTAAAAATGTTGACCATGTTTTAAAAACTGATGACAAAAGTTGATCATGTATATAAAAATATTAATCAAGCATTTAAAAAATGAAATATGTATGTGGCAGGCCACATCTTTTTGTCAAAACTGACTCCTTGGCCCTTCGATCCCGATCGAATCGTAACGCTCGTCCTCTGTTTTTTCTCAGTGTTGATTGGATCCCTCCTCTCCTTCCTCATCCCACATCCGCAGGTGCGTCCGTTCTCGACGGCCGTTTCCGCCGGCTATGCA